TATAGCACAAGGCGGGATGACATGGTGACTCTTACGAGAAACGCATTCTGCGCCATTTTCAAACGTGGTACGCTACCGCGCCCTCCTCATTTTCAGGATATGGACTGTACATCTTCGCACGTGATAGAGGCTTAGCGCAAAGCTCTACGCAGAAAGCATTTGCAACACCCTAACACACTTTTTCCATTCCACATCAGTTCTTCCACTTTCAAAGGAATAAATGAATGATTCGAAATAAGTCATTGATGTCCACCCTCAGCAGTCCAAATTTCCGTGCAGCCTTTACTTTACAGAATTTCATGCATTTGAGAGCGTCACCCTAAGTGTGGGCGAAGTGCTATGAATGCATCTCAGGCGTCCAGCCTCATGAGTAGGGGGGGGGGTGCTGAATGGCCAAGACAATCCTCAGTGACTGACCTGATCAGCCGATGTTCCTCCTTGAGCGATGTTCTTTTCCATCTTTCTGAGGCCCCGGAGAAGCGAATCCAATGCCGTGGTCCCTTTTCAGCTTTTTTTGAACCGAATTTTTCTCTATTTTTGCGATTGGGCGCATTTTGCTGTGCGAAGACGAGCTGCTGCCCGGAACGTTTTTGAGCGTTTTTAACACCCAGAAATAAGCCGTTTTGGGAAATCGCTCATGCGGATCAACGGCGTATAAGCAAAAGTTTTTATCTTCTGTAGTACCGCGGGCAGTACCTTTTTCTGTGCAATGACTGAACTGAGTTTTGGGTGGCATCTGCTATTCTGAATTTGCAGACGAGGCACCACCGACCGAAGGTGAGCAACGCTCAAAGGCATTCAATTACGCGTAAATGAGACAATTGGCCTTGTCCAATATCGACGATGAAAGCTGACGTGAAAACTAAATGATGTGCCGAGATGTTGGGACGATGGTCTTGGCCCATGCGAGCGACATTTTCTGGCTTCGAATTCTGAAGGGAAGTGGTTTGCAACGGGAATATTCATAGCGACTCGACACTCATGAGCGTATGCAGCGTGCGAACTAGACGGCTTTGAGTAGCCAACACTCGGAGATCATTCCTCGGACCAGCAAAATTGCTGGTTATAGAGCTAACTATCCCTGCAGGCTGCAGAACCTAGGGTGCTAAGTAAACAAATGAATAAGTAATTATTGGCGTCAAGGAATGCTGCCATAAAGGACTTCCTTGGTGACTTATTAACCCGAGAATTGATGTGGGTGACCCATACTTTGCTTACTAACAAGGATATATCTAGGAACCTAGGGCCCCCTGAAAGTTGCAAAGCACCTCAACCAAATTGATCATATGCACGAAAGCCGGCGAAAAAATGCAAATAAGTTGGCGCAAAACATTTTGGAACTTGCAGTATCGGCGCTGTTCGAAAGGGGGGGGGGGTGTGTGGGGGATGAGCATTTTGCACCTTCATAGTTTCATTTACTGCTTAGAGTGCACGTCTCAGTGAAGTGTAGACAAAGCTCGTGCTATTGCATGTCTTTACAAGGGTTTACAGTACTCCAAGGCATCCGCAGTGATAGATGGAAACCAGCAAAATGCACCCACCAAGCCGAATTGGGCCCAAAACCAGGGCATTTCCCACCGTGGGGGCAAAATTTTGCAAAATATGACCGCCTTCAAGAGTTTCTCTCCTCGTGTGACCTCGCCCTCTTCCCCATTCTGCCTAATATCTCCCCAAATTTTCCCAACTTGCTGAAAAATCTCACCACTTTTCCCGAAGAATAGCCGATTTTGAAAATTGAGAGGCGGGCAGGGGATGGAGGGAGCATTTAGTTGAAACAGGAAAGACTGAGAAAAGTGAACAACCGAAGCATTTTTCACAAAGGCAACGACGACCTCTCCCTCACCTAGTCCAATACGACCTCCCCCCTCACTGGAGCTCCCCAACCTACAACGTGCCCTGCTCAAGATTCATATTGAGCTCTGGCATGTGCGGACGTGCGTCTTTTGGCCAGACGTGCGCTTTTTTGGCAAAATGATGTGGCCCAAATATTTCCACGTACATCCATTCATTCATTAACGCAGAAACACTTGGAAGGACAGACGAATAGGCGTTGATTGGCGCCGATTTGCCAGAAAGCCCCGCGTCAAAGAAACGATTGCCCCCAAAACATCGCCAAATTTTCAGCAAAAAACCACGGATACGTGCTTTTCTCGACCTTCATGCACAGTATACGGTGAAACAATCATAAGTACTTCTTTACAGCATCATTCAATTACTCATATCGGCGAGTTCGTGAAGGCCCGCCTCCCCCTGTGACGTCATGGGTTCTCTTTCCGGTTGTTCTATTTTTTTCAGAATTGGAGCAAAGTTGGATTTCCGCCAGCTTTCAGGAGAATGAGAAACGAGTTTCACATTGGTTTCCGGGCAGCAGCTCGTCTTCACACAACAAAAAGCGCCCAAGTGTCAAAATAGAGTGAAATTAGGCGAAAAAAGAGCTCTAAAGGGAAAGGGGCGTTGGGATCGCGCTCCCAGGGCTTCATATAAGTTTAACATTCGATAGCAGATCGAAATTTTACATCACACCTCATGTAAGAAAAGATTTAAGAAGATTTTGAGGAGCTAGCGGTTACGCCTAAAGTCAACATATGTTCCCTCATAGATTGTCCCTCATCTCCTCCGCATCCCTTCGCTCGTAGAGCCTCCAGCGGATTCACAAAAAGATCATCTGTTTATGCTCCGCCGCCAAGTGGAACGGCAAATATCGGAGATTGGATTGCACGACTTTCCCTATATCTTTCTAAAACATACACATTGTATCAGTGAAGTTTTCTGGCAGTAATTAGAGTACGGTAGAGGATTTAAAGGACCACATCTTGGAGTCTAACGTTTTTTGGGTACGAAGCAATACTGAGCTGCAGCTCTTATCATAGGCAGTGATCTTCATCATGACCAAAAATATAGACAGCTCAATCTAAGAAAATGGTCCCTAGGGATTTGTCAAGAAGTTAGCCTACCCCACCTCAAGCTACCTCAACCTACCTACCTACCTACCTCAAGCTTTTTGCAAAGAAGAGGGTCAATATTTACTAGTGATCCCAGCAGGCATGCTCAAAAGGTAAAAAGAAGGTATTGAATGTAATCCAGCTGCGGCTTCAGCGACATACGACATGAACGCGGCTTAGTTTTTACTACAAAGTCAAGTAACATCCGTCATGACTGGAAAAGTGATTAGGCCTAGTGTCGGCCGTTAGTGAAAGCGGCATCAGTGTCCCAAAACCACATGGCGCTCGTTCCGTAATGAAGGTATCCGATTGCACATCATCACGCGACTTGACATTCAAAGGTCATAGAACTACATGAAATTTTTCGCAGATGAAGCATTTCAGGGCTATTACGTCTTGGAAGGGGCATTTTGCACTTTCGCTGTTTCCAGTTGCCAGTTCGTTTTGAGCGCATAAGGCATGATAACGGTACTTGCTAAAAAATAGTAGCACGGTGCTGTATAGCGGGGATGTGACCAAAAAGCAAAGTTAAACGGTGAAACCTTTGTTCTGCACGGCATTAGAGGAGCATCTTCGGACGAGTTTCCCGTACGCCTGTTGCAAACAAACGATTTAATAGATACTGGCACACGTATGTATTCTTATACCCATGTAGCAACGCTTCATATCAATTGTACTTCATAAATGAAGCGATAAGAGTACCAGCGTCGATGTGACTGTGCGGCCATTTGTGGGCGGGCGGTTGCGGTGGGCGTTTGGGTGGCATGGTGCACCTTGGTTAGCGTTAAGGTGCCCTAAAGAAGCGCGCGCAGCACTTGCTAAGCGGCTGCTAGGCGTATCGACCCTGCACGTCTTGCAGATGCTTTATTCTGTACAGGCTTTACTAAGTACCATTTGGTGCTCCCATTAAGCCAACCACACCAGCATTCCTTACGTACAAGTTTAACAATGTGACGTTGGGATGGTAAACTGCGGAACCTCGAAAGGCTTTTTCATTCACTTTTTCTAAACCTTTCTTTACAGCTGTTCCAACGAAGCAATTAGTGATCTGAGTCGCTGGGTGGAGCAGAAATAGAACGGTAACTATCGGAAACCGGAAATTGGTTGCGGGATGCTTCCTGCCCTCCCCCTCCTACTGTTGACTGGTCTTTAGTACACGAGATATGATCAAACTTCTGCAGAAACGGATGAGCATTTATTGCTCGTTATTGCTTCTTGTAGAGTGGACCTTCCTATTATGAGCTACGACTTTTCCGATTTCCGACATCCTCACGCCAACTCCATCCTTCACACCAGATCCCACAGGAAAGATGTGGGAATGTTGCTTTGCCAGCCCCTGAGAAGGGAGGGTTATTATGAACTACTATTGCCTGGAAACCGAATTCAAACAAAAAGAGGCATCAAACTCATATGGTGGAAGTACTAAAATGAGCTGAAGAACCGGTTTGCAATCCATAAAAGAACGATTAAGATACGATCGAATAATTGAAAAGACCAACCAGTAACTAATCGATCTGATTTGTACTCTAACCTCATAACCCCTACCAAAATTCAGACCCTTAGTCGTCAAGTCAAACCTTATCTAGGTCCTGAATTATGCTCCTTTCCTGAATAGAGGACTCCTTGACTTTGCAAGCCAAACAAGTTTAGTCGGTATGCTTGACAGATTTCAAGAAAAACACGAGTCACCTAGGATCACGCACTCCATTTCCTTCCTAGAATGCAGGCCAATCGTTCAGTACTTCTGTAACGTCTAGGTAGGCTTTATAACTCCATTAATGAAAATTTGCGTGATGTCCGGACATCTGATATATAAGCAATGGCTCGGGGCGGAGCATGAAGGGGTTGAGGAGGCGGAGCCAGGTGCAGTGCGCGAACAGACGTAACGACCGACGGCCCTGAGTTGCTGCTGCTGTTGCTGCTGCTACTACTTTTATTAGTGGTAGTAGCAACACAATTTAAATTTCTTCTCTACAAAAAAAGGGACTATCATTCCTGGGTATCTCACCTTTGTACCTCTACAGTACCGACATCCCTCGACCCAAATGACATAATCTCATGTCGCAATGGACTTTCTCCGCTGTTCGAGTACATCTTACCGCGGGAAGCCGTGGCAGTACTGGTGTACATACACCCAATGTACTCGCTTTATTACTATTACCAGTACTTTGCCTTGTTGGACTTATTGGAAATGCTATGGTATGTATTGCTATCGCAACCGATCGACGTTTACACAACGTCACCAATTATTTCCTATTCTCACTAGCTCTAGCTGATCTACTTGTATGTTTACTGGTTATGCCATTGAGTATTATCGTCGAGGTCAAACATGGTAATTACTTTGATTTTTCTTTTTAAGATTTCTAGAGTCCTTTATCGCTTTTGCGAGCATATTTGCCTCAGGAGAGTTGGCTTCAACGCCGAAAATGTCACTTTTTTCCCCGTTGAAACGGTGACATTTTTGAATGCGCGGCAAAAGTGAATGTGTATTTGATGAGATGACTGAAGTGAAATCGGCCATGCAAATCAAACAAGTACTACTTTTAGGTGTTTGGACGTGGAACGTGTCATTATGCCTGCTTTATGTGTATGCTGATGTATTCCTATGTAGTGCCAGTATAGTTCATATGTCAATTATATCCCTTGATCGCTACCTGGGCATATCGCAACCTCTTCGAACCCGGAATAAATCGAAGACGATGATTATTGTGAAGATTTGTCTTGTATGGATCATTACCTTGATCGTCTCCTGCCCTATAGCGATCCTGGCCTCATACGATCATACCTATATCCTGCGAAATAATTCCTGTATGATATTCAGCCGCCATTATATCATCTACGGTTCAACTCTAACCTTCCTTATACCATTCTGTATAATGTTCATCACTTACCTACGTACTACTACATTACTCAACAAGCAGGCATCAATCCTTAGTCAAAAGGCCAATGATAAGCTGAACGGAAATGGACTGCGTCGCACAATGCCACATAGGAAACTGGGACAAGTTCGACGAACGTCAACCAGTCCAGCTACCACATATAGCAGTAGCACATTTAAGTCAAGTTTATATGGTCCGAAAACAAGCACGATGAGCTGTTCAAATGGATATCATAACTCAGTGGCCGAAATGGAAGCGTCCCCAATGCCTCAACTGACGCCGACATCAACGGAAAACCATAACCTTTTACAGCATAAATCATTCCCCAAACGATCGACTATTTATCGTTGGAAATCAAAAACTTCCAGCTATTTGACGAATATCGCACAAAAAGTCGGTCGGCGAAATTCGTTGCAGGTCAGTGCACTCACATTTTAGTTGATATTTCATGTTTATTCCTCTTTTCTGGCTAACTTGGTACCTGCTCAAAAGTAGTAATAAAGGGCTGTATAGTATAGAAATTAACAAAAAAGCGAAGGTAAATGGTTAAAGTCGTGCAAAAAAGCCTCCGTTCTGCAGGGCATTGGACACGTTTCTTTGGACGAGTTTCCCGTTGGCATCGTGCCAAAAACCGCTCTGACAGATACAGATGCACCTGTGCATTCTTATATAAATGGAACGACCGCTGCCTTATCATTGTACTTCGATAAATAAGCAATAATATGTGTCAGCGATGCTGACATGACTGGTGTCGGCCCATTTGTGGGCGGAGGATTGCAGTGGGCGTCTGGGTCGGCATGTTTCACGTTGACTAGGCCCCCCATAACTGCACACTTGGAGGCAAAAGGCGCCACGCAGCGCTCGCTGAAGGGCGCATATTCTTTTTTGCTAGGCCTATCGACCCTGTACACCTTGTCGATTTATCGATTCCACTTGCCTTTAATCTGACGTTCTCACCATCATCAATGTTTATCACAGAAAAGTTACCTTCTACCCTGCACAGTTCTTTTTGCTCTGTTCCATCTCCTCTATTTGCGCTCCTGCTCAGGTATCAGCGGTTGGAAAGCGGAAATTTGATTTCCTGCAAATGAACGGATTCTCCAGAAATTTTGGATTAAATGGATTTTCGCGTTTTCGTTCATTAGGGTTAGGTTCAAGGGCTTTCCTTGAGCTTGCTCAGCTCGAAACTTTTTCAGACTTCCCCAGCTTCCTCAGTGTCTAGTATTAGTATCCAATAGTTTTCTTTGAAAGCTCAGGAATTTTTATCATGTATGCTCTTTCGACTTTGGATGTTTCTTTCTTTCTCGTCTTCACTTCTTAGCCCTTTAGCTAATACTTATCCCTAGTCCGTAGGCCAAACGGTTCAACGGTTACAGTGCCACTCGCATCCACTGGACGACGTGCTCCATATGAGAGCGCTCTTCGGCTTCTAGGGGGCATTTTGCACTTCCGCTAATTCCTTTTGTGGGTACATGTTAACGAAAGGATCAGTCCTCGTCAACCCTTGACAGCCACGAAATGGTAAAAGTGAGCCAGTTGGGTCACAGGGATTCACAGGTATTCACGAGGTGGCTTCTACAAGACTTGCGGAGTACCAATTGGTGCACCCACCAAGCCAAACTGGAACCACGTCAGTATTAGGGAAACAAACCTTAGCATGGCAGATTGAGAAGCAGTAGTCATAGCTGACTCCATATAAGCGTTGGTTTGGTTGTGGTGGCACTCTTAGGGTTTTTTGGAGCACTTATTGGCGTTTCGGGGATTCATCTTCTTCAGAACTCTGGAGGCCAGATAATTTAACGACCAGCACATAATGCAGTCTGCTCAGAGGGCTCTTGGTTTTCCTCAACAACTCCCTGGGCAGTTCAAGGGCCAATATTTGGATACCCATAATAAGGGAATAGGGGGCTAGCCTTTTGGAAGTTATTGATTTCTATGGTTGAACATCTTAATTGCTCTCTGAGAACGAGATATTACCAGAAACTTCCAAGAAGCAAAGAAAACTGAGAGTCTGAGAGTGCCCTAGTAATATCACGATCTGGGCCAGGATCTGCTACATATGCTGGGGATCATTGGAGGTCTCATTTCAGTAGCAAGATAGATTGGAGGCGAGTTATTGAGGAATTAGTTTTCTCAAGGCTATGATGTGCTCTGCTGGAAGTGGGGCTTGTTTTTAGGCCCCAGACTCATCAATACTCTCCAAGCTATGCCAGATGGGCGGTGAGGTACGTGAGCTACCTTTGAGTTTGTGCACGAAAAATTTTGGCGCAATAATTCAATCGTTTATGCCTTATTCAATAGGCTCTTCAGTGGGGTTGAGTGAACGATGAATTGAGGCAAGATTCACGGCGCTCATTTCCTGGGCAGGGGTCCATTTGAGAAGTTTTCTGCCGTTGGGGAAAACATTTGCAAAATACGACTCCTTTTCAAAATTCCCCTATCTGATACGATTCCTACTTCTTCCTCACCCCGTTCTAACTACTGTTTTCCCATTTTTCCTTACATCCTTCCAGTTCAATGGGGGAATTCTTACAGGTCTCTCCCGAAAACTGCTCCGTCAAGGAGGCGGCGGTTGAGGGAATAGCCCGCCTAACAGAAAACTCGTAAAACACGGGAGTCAAGAGAAGTCAAGAATTGGAAAGAAAATCAGAGGCAAAATTCACCTCTTCCCTCCAGCGTTCAAATACAACCCTCTAGATGGGGGGGGGGGGCAATGAACGATGTGTCTTGAGTATTTCTCTTGCTGTAGATCTCGTTGTAGACTGAAAAGCCTCATAAGTGAGGTTTCGGAAAATAGTTTAAGATCATTGTTTGAAAGCGATACTCAACTACCAGTATAAATTGCTCTTGAGAGGGTTTTCTTCTGGGACTGTTGACTAATAAAGGTTATTCAAATAAAGACCCATACAAAATGCACACACGCACATACCTCTCAGTCACTTTTTTCAGGCGGCCAGTCAAGAGCTTGCCAACGAACATAAAGCCACACGGGTGCTTGCCGTCGTATTCATTTGTTTTTTCATCTGTTGGACGCCATTTTTTGTCGCTAATTTTATCGTTGGATTTTGTGGAGCGCTGTGTTCCGTGCCACCATGGCTTGGCTCCGTATTTCTTTGGCTCGGCTATATTTCAAGTACCGTCAATCCTATCATCTATACCGTATTCAATAAGCGTTTTCGTCAAGCATTTGTACGTATTCTACGCTGTCAATGCTGCCATCCCATACGCGATCCGTCCTCGTTCTATTCACGAAATTACACGACAATCGTACCTGATACGTTCAACTGGTAAGTATAGGTATCATTTTTCATCAGCAAGTTGGTCAATTTAAGTGCATAGTTTGGATGGGATCGTTTAGGTTTTTGTGATAGGAGGATGATGTCCTCATAGAAAAATCGGATATTGGCACATTTCGCCGCTGCAGGGTAGAGTTATGTGATACCTGAAGAGTTTCACGAACAGCTGCACTCACGTTATTTGCGAAAAACGTCGCCACATATATCCCCGCGTTGAACAGCGCTAAAAAACCGCGCTTCACTCTGATCCCATTGTCATAAGTGCGATGATGATAGACTGCTGCAATGAATGACACGTAACGGAATGACGTCGGCCTAATTGCAGTTCGAATCACGATCGAGAACGGCAAACGTCGGTGCATTGCCGCGATGAGTCAAACAGCAGTACACGGCAGGACAGTACACGTTATAGAAGTGTTGGTAGCTCTGATGATAATAAAAAGGTGAGAATTAGTTCACATTAATTCCCTGCAGGGCTTTTGGCGCAGCTCGGCGACAGAAATGGGACATTTTGCACCTTTGTTATGTACATCCCAACCAAGTTTTGAGCCATCAAGTGAAGCCAAGTGAAATCTTGTGAAGCCAGATACCAGCCAAAGTACGCAGAGTCCACCTATCAACTCTTGTAAAGCAACGATATACTGTACCGTTTACCATTGAGGTCCGGCGACCTCACTTCATCTTCACTAATGGGACCTGTAAACGGGAATCTGTAGCAGTAAAGGTGCGAAATTCACTTTAACGTCGCTAAACTGCACCGGGTTTTCACCGAAGTCAATGTGCAGTCCATACTAGAGGATAGAGAGGGCGTTTCCCCCCACAGACATTTGCTTTATGCAGATGTTATCGCCGCTGTTAGTCGGGGGGGGGGGTGTTAGGAAAGACGGAATGAGCTTGTCTCCGATGCTTTTCTAGCAGAAGGTCAAATATCGAACTGGAAATAAATCAGCGGTGAGCACGCCGCTGGTTAGCTCACTCGACTGAGTACGACGTTCCCTGTACGTACGTACTTCCCTTTAGTCTGGACCCTCTCAGCCGTTACCGTGCCCGCGATCTACCCAACTGGAAACGCTCCTTTTTATCTTCTGCTATGGATGGTATGTGGCACTATAACTGCGGCGAAATCGCGTGAATATTCAAGAAAAGAGGGAAAGTAGTAGTTCTCGGGTATAATTGTGGCAACACTCTACTACCTGATTGAAGCAGATAAGGCTGGAGCGTAATTGGTAAGGAATCGACAAGAGTAGATTAGTGAAGGGGAAAGTCATAATGAACGGGACCTCGCATGTAACGGTGGGATGCGAAAGTAGACCAGGAGACCTGAGTCACGACTCCAGGTACGGTAACTACGTCGACTACGGGTTACAATAGTAAGATACTTGAATGGAATGTGGTACCTACTCGTTGAAATCCCCAGCGCCATCAGTTTTGAGTGACGGACGCTGCAACGCTGTCTAGCGTTTTATGCTCTCATGTTCTCTCCTCATGAACGTACAACAAGACGATGCGACGAAAAGCGACTGGGCCACTCAGCTCACCCACCAGTGTTGCGCGCCGTACAATTGAATGGTTTACTCCCTAGAATGTCTCTCACTTATAGGGGCTGAAGGTGCGCACGGTGCGTGTGCACGCGTCTGTATGCCTCCTTGTACTGTTCAAGAGGACATTGTAAGAGCAGTGATCAATAGTCCCCAGCGAATTTGAGAGGGCCGAGGTGGTCCACTTCGAGGGTTTCAATTTTCTGCGATTGATAAGCAGTTCACTTTTCCCCAGAGCTTCTTTTCCTCTTAATTGTAACGCGCTGCGGCATTTGAGCTTGTTGTTAACTTTGTTCTGGTGTGAATTTCGGAATAAATTGTAGACCGCTTTCTCCACTATCGCAGCCTCTTCGACGTCCTCGACCTCAGTTCTTGTGCCTTATCACTTGAAGGCCAACAGCCGAAGCTTTTAGCACGAATTCCAGCCGCAATATGAGAGTTCCCAAAGCAGATAATGGAAGAGAATAGAGAAGAGAGTCCAGGCAAGGAGCTGTAGGAAAAAGAACTACTGAAAAACCCACGCATTTTCCTTCTTCACTCGCTGAGCCTATTTGCTTAACTTTTTGGTCCTAAATGTGGAATGGGCTGGACCTTATAGAAACAT